GCATTGAAAATGCAGGGATTTAGTATTAAAAGCAACGATGAGTTCATGAATTAATTTATTCATGAATTAATTTGTTTTCAAAATCTTACATTTCAAACAAAAACCCCATGTATGAAAACCTGCCCTGTAACGACCCTCCCCGCTCAGGCCCGCGCTCGGCCACGGTGCGGAGCCCGCGCTGCGCGCATGCCTTCTGCGCTGCGCTCGGGGGCGGCACGTCGTTGCGGGGGGAGAGCCGGCTCCCCGCCACGCGACGGCGACGCCGACGGCGATGGTGGTGATGGTGGTGGTGAGGGTGATGATGGCGATGATGAGGAAGAGGATGACGAAGAGGATGACGAGGTGGATGATGTGGATGATGATGCTGATGATGATGATGATGATGATGATGATGATGATGATGATGATGATGATGGTGATGGTGATGGTGATGGTGATGGTGGTGGTGGTGATGATACTTACGCAGGCCGAAAGATTTTCCTCTTGAGCCCCACATGTCGGAAGCGTGAAGGATTTAGCCACCTTTTTCGCACTTTGTTGGCGGGGGAGACGCAGTTCGAAATCCCACTAAGGATTTAGCACCCCTCTCGCACTTTGTTGGCGGGGGAGACGCAGTTCGAAATTCCACTTACGCAGGCCGAAAGATTTTCCTCTTGAGCCCCACATGTCGGAAGCGACGCGCCGTTCAGGTGAGCGGATACATGGAGCGCTCGCTTCGAGGTGGGGTAAATATGTTATGGGTGGAGATGCGGGACGTTTTTCCCACACAGGAAATTGGATACGCGCAACACAGAAATAGGATCCGCGAAACTCTCCCACACCCGAGAAGGGATCCAATTGGATCCATTGATGTTTTCAAATTTTTAGTCCAAGAGGAACAAGTTTCGGCCTGGGGATGTATTGATGATGCTGGGGACGAGAAGAAGAGGATGGTGATGTCGATGACGATGTTGATGATGGTGATAATGATGATGACGATGGTGATGGTGATGGTGATGGTGATGATGATGATGATGATGATGATGATGATGATGATGATGATGATGATGATGATGATGACGATGATGATCATGACTGTGGTGGTGGTGGTGCTGGTGAGGGTGAGGTTGACGGTGAGGGCTTGGGTGAGGGTGAGGATAAAGATAGCACCAATGACGATGACTACGATGGTGATGATGATTGTGATGATGATGGTGGTGTTGGTGAAGATGATGGTGGTGGTGATGATGAGGAGGAGGACGACGATGATGATGACGAGGATGCTGGTGTTGATGATGATCATGATGTGGATGCGGATGCGCATGATGTTTTTGCTGATGATGCTGCTGATGATGATGCTAATGATCCTGGTGCTGATGACAATGACAATGACGATGATGACGACGATGCTGATCCTGATGACGACGATGATATGACGATGATGATGGTGATGATGGTGATGATGATGATGCTGATGATGATGATGATGCTGATGCTGATGATGATGATGATGATGATGCTGATGATGATGATGAGGAGGAGGAGGAGGAGGAGGAGGAGGAGAAGGAGGAGGAGGAGGAGGAGGAGGAGGAGGAGGAGGATGATGATGATGATGATGCTGTTTTTGTTGTTGTTAACGATGCTGATTATGGTGATGCCGCGTGGGAGGAGGAGGAGGAGGAGGAAGGGGAGGAGGAGAGGAGGAGGACAAACTCTCCCACTTTCAGTTTATAGGTTCATGTCCTACACAGTCGAACCTGGGCGTGGTTATTGCGTCTGATATACTCCCCTCTGCTTCCTGACCCAGAGTCAAGGGGGGGGGAGGAGGGGAACTCATGAGGACGATGAGGATGACGAGGTTGGACGCAGCTCGAAAGCGTCGTAGCTGTCTGCATTCGATGCGAGCGAACCGGCCTTGCAGCCTCTGCTCTCGCTGAGGCCTGAGGCCTGGCCTCGACCACACCTGGGACCCGACGCGAAGGACCGAAACCCAGGTGAGCCCAGAAGAAGCCAGCACAGCCAGGGAGGAGAACGACAAGCAGGAAAACAGCGGAGGTGGAAGAGGAGGAGGAGGAAGATGAGGATGAGGATGAGGATGAGGAAGAGGAGGAAGAGGAGGAGGAGGAGGAGGAGGTGGAGGAGGAGGAGGGGGAAAAGGATGAGGAAGAGGAGGAGGAGGAGGAGGAGGAGGAGGAGGAGGAGGAGGAGGACGAGAAGGAGGAGGAGGAAAACGCAGGGGAAGAGGAGTAGGAGGATGTGGAGGAGGAGGTAGAGGAGGAAGGGGAGGGAGGAACAGGACAAAGTTCAGGGCCCCCGAAACCCTCCATCCAAGGTGCGTTTTCGTAAGGCCCTACCAGGTGTCTCTGTCACTGAAGGAAGTGCCCCGTTGGAAGACACCTGTTTGAAAGTCTTGAACTGTGCCAGAACACCATTCTTGGGACTTCAACGCCGCGAATCACCGTTGCCTTTGCGTCTTGACGATCTGGAACCGTGCCAGAATGATCTTGCTGGGGCTCCAACATCGCAAGTCAACGCAACCGCTGCGCCCTGACAGTCAGACATCGTACCAAAACACCATGGTTGGTACGCCAACCATGAGAATCCTGGAAACTGGTGCACGTTGTTAAGACGAATGTACGCGAGGCGAGAGCTACATTTTGAAAAGGGAACGCCCTCCATCTGTGAAGCTCTTGCATGAATTTATGTCGAGAGTGCGCGGCGCTCAAGCGAGATCCACATTTTGAAAAGGAACCACCATCCATCCGTGAAGCTCTTGTTGCAATTTTTGTACGACGAATGTGCGCGGCGCTAAGGCGAGAATCACAGCTTGAAAACGACCCGCCCTCCATCCGTGAAGCCCGTGCAACCATGTAAGGCGAATGTGCGCGGCGCGAAGAAGATGAAAGCGGGCCACCCCCATCCGCGGATCTTTTGCAAGTGTTGAAGTGGGACTTGCGCGGCGCCAAGGCGAGCGCCACATTCTGAACACGGCCCGGGCCCTCCATCTGTGAAGCTTTTGCAACATTAAAAAAAAACGAATGTGCGCGGCGCTGAGGCGAGAGCCCAACCACCCGCCCTCCATTCGTGAAGCTCTGGAAAATTCCCAGCTTAAGGATCATCAGTGGTGGGGATGGTTCTGGCGACACGCTTGGCCCGTCCGACCGACGCGCCTCGGGGTGCGACAGGGAGAGGTCATTGAACAGGAACAGGGATGGATGAGGAGGAGGAGGAGGAGGAGGAGGAGGAGGACGACGACGACGATTAGGACAACGAAGAAGAGCACGAGGTCGACGATGACGAGGAGAAGGAGGAGGAGGAGGAGGAGGTGGAGGAGGAGTAGGAGGAGGAGGAGGAGTAGGCGGAGGAGGGCGAGGACGAGGAGGAGGAGGAGGAGGAGGAGGAGGAGGAGGAGGAGGGAGGAGGAGAGGGAGGAGGAAGAAGGAGGAGGAGGAGAAACAGGAGGAGGAGGAGGAGGAAAAGGAGGGAATAGGAGGAGGGATGAGGAGGAACACAGTAACAGTGAGGACGAGAAGGAGGAGTAGAGGATGAACATGCGGATGAGGATAATAACGAGAATGGCGAATAGGAGGATGAGCTTGTAAACGAGGAGGAGGGGATCGGATGATGATGATGAGGAGGAGGAGGAGGAGGAGGAGGAGGAAGAGATCGTGAACGAGCTGGAGTGCAGGATGAGGTCGTGAACGAGGAGGACGTGGAAGAGGATGAGGAGGAGTAGATCGGAGGATGAAGATGAGATCGTGAACCAGAGATAGAAGAAGGACGAGGATGAGGAGGACCAGTATAAGCCCATGGTGCATCAACGATGTTTTAATACAGTCTCCCTCCAACATCCCTCTGCACAGGTCCCAGCAATCATGTTTTCCCCTGCGGGAGATGCCCCGTTGGAAAACAACAGTCTGAGAAGTCTCAAACGTGCCACAACACAATTTCAGGGACTTCCACGCCTCGAATCAACGCTACTCTTGCGTTATGACGATCCTGAATCGTGCCAGAACGCGCTTCCTGGGACTTCCGCGCCGCGAACCATTGTAACTAATTGATGCGCCCTGCGAATCTTAAATCGTGGTGGAACGCCGTTTGTGGACGTCAACCGTAATGATCATTGAACCTGCTGCACACTTTTTAAGACGAGCACGCGCGGCGCCAATGGGACAGCCACTTCAAAGCGACCCGCCCTCCATCCGTGAAGCTCGTGAACATTTTGAGACGACTGTGAACGGCTCTAAGGCGAGAGGCCTATCTTAAAACGACCCGCCCTCCATCCGTGAAGCTCGTGAAAATTCGAGACGAGTGTGCACGGCGCTCATGCGATAGTCCTATCTTAACACGACTCGCCCTCCATCCGTGAAGCTTCCGCGGACTTGTGTGACGCATTTGCGCGGCGCTGAGGCGGGAGCCACATGTTGGAAAACCGCGTGCCCTCCATCCGTGTGAAACTCCTGCAACACTGGGCGACTGCTGGTTCGCGGCGCCAGGGCGAGCGCGACATTCTGGAAACGGCTCCCCTCTATCCGTGAAGATCTTGAACATTTGAAGCCTTTGGATTAGAAGTGGTGGGGACCAGAAGTCGGCGACGTGCCCAGTCCGCCCTACGGACACGTCTGGGGGTGCGACGGGAAGGAGCTATTCAGAAGGAACAGGGATGGAGGAGGAGGAGGTCGCGATCGAGGAGAAGGAGGCGGAGGAGGAGAAGAGGAGGAGGAGGAGGAAGAGGAGGAGGAGGAGGGAAGAGGAGGAGAGGAGGAGGGGCAGGGAGAAGGAGAGTAGGAGGGAGCAGGAGGAAGAGGGGAGGCAGGAGGGGGCAAAGCGAGGGGAGAGGAGGGAGGAGGGAGAGGCGGTGGCAGGAGGAGGCGGAGGAGGAGGAGGAAAAGAGGAAGGAGAGGAGGATGGGAGGAGGAGGAGGAGGAGCGGAGGAGGGGAGGAGAGGAGGAGGGGCAGGAGGCGGCCCCGCCGCGCCCGCCGCCCGCCGCACCCCGCCGCCCGGCCCAGGGCGACGCGGACCGGGGGCGCCGCGAGCGCCCAGGCGGCGGAGGCTCGGCGCCGCGCGGCCGCGGGCGCGTCGTCGTTGTCGTCGTCGCCGCTGCCGTCGCGCCGCGAAGCAAGGGCCACTCTTTGCCGTGCAGCCGAGGAGGAGGAGGAGGAGGAGGACGAGGAGGAGGAGGAGGAGGAGGACAAGGAGGAGGAGGAGGAGGAGGAGGAGGAGAAGCAGGAGGAGGAGGACAAGTAGTAGGGGATCGGATGATGATGATGATGATGATGATGATGATGATGATGATGATGATGAGGATGAGGAGGAGGAGGAGGAGGAGGAGGAGGAGGAGGAGGAGGAGAAAGAGGATCGGCAACACATGATAGTGGCCGTTCGCCGTAGTGACCTTCGGTTTGCGGCTTTCGGGGGAGCGGGAGGCCAAGTATATGCACGCATGCCGATAGTGTCGCATCGTACGGAACGACCGTCGCGCCGCGAACCCAGGGCTGCTCGTTCCTAGGGTCACTCTTCCGTCTAGCCGAGGGTCGAGGATGACCGAGGGTTTTTGGTATTCTGTAGCATCTCTGCCATTTTCTGGGGGCTTGCGGAGGTCGTCGTCGTCGTCGTCGTCGTCGTCGTCGTCGTCGTCGTCGTCGTCGTCGTCGTCGTCGTCACAGTCGTCACAGTCGTCACAGTCGACGTCGCCGTCGCGGTCGCCGTCGTCGTTGCGGTCGCCGTCGTCGTCACGGTCGCCGTCGCCGTCGCGGCTGTTCATCGTCGTCGTTGCTGTCGTCGTCGTCGTCGTCGTCGTCGTCGTCGTCGAGGTCGTCGTCGTCGTCGTCGTCGTCGTCGTCGTCGTCGTCGTCGTCGTCGTCGTTCTTCGGCGTCGAGGCCCGCTGAGGCCCCCGGAGACATCTGTTGGCCTTCGGAGGCGGCCGTGGTCGTCGCCGCTGCCGCCGCCCTGGCCGCCGCGGCATGCCGCGGCCCCTGCTGGGAGCGGGGCGGCCACCTCGAGGCGGCCCTCTTGGGGCGACCCTTGCGCGGCGGCGTCCTCGGGGTGGCCGCCTCGAGCGGCCGCCGGGCGGACCGTCCAGGCAGCGGCGTCGTCGTCGTCTTCGTTTTCGTCGCCGTCGTGATCGTCCTCGTCGTGATCGTCGTGATCGTGATCGTCGTCGTCGTCGTCGTCGTCGTCGTCGTCGTCGTCGTCGTCGTCGGCCTGCTGCTCCGCATCCTGCGCCCCTCCCCGCTCCTGCCTCCTGTTGCCCCTCCTCCTCCCGCCTCCCTCCCTCCCGCTGCTGCTGCTGCCCTCCCTCCGCCCGCCCTCCCCCCCTCCCCGATCGTCGAGCCTCCCCTCGTCTTCTCCTCACGCATCCCACGGGCAACAGGAAAAACATCTCCGCACCCGCGGCCTCGCGGCCCGGGCACCCCGGGACGCGGCCCCCGCGGGTGCCGGGGGCCTTTTCTCGCGGAGGCCCCGCGCGGGAGCGCATCCGTGCAAAGCGCGCACCCGCGGGGCCTTGCCCTGGAATCCAGGCTGGAGTCGGACACGTAGGAGGAGTGTTCAAAGTCAGCAACAAAATATAGCCTGGGCACGATCTGTTTGAGTTCTTCTTTCCCTGGCATTCTTGAATCTTTTGGGACTGGTTCTCATTTCTCGTCCCGAATCCGCCTGCAGGGGGACATGCCCGGCCTAACTCCAGGCCGCGAGGCCGTCGATGTGCATCTGCTCGCCGCGCGGGAGGGGCCGCAGTCCGTGAGGCCAACCGGCACCCCCGGCAGGACGGCACGGCTGCGTGCTGCGCCACTCCCCTCCGCCTCACGTGGCGAGCGGCGGCGAGGCCTGCGGCCTTCCCCGCCGGCTGCGCACACCCTCTGCACGGGCTGTGCAGGCACCCCAGCCTGCCGGTCGCCGTTCTCTTCGTCGTTGCTTTGCCGACTGGCGCGGGCCCTCGCGCCCCCGCTCCCGCCCCCCCCCCCCCCCGCTCCCCCCCCCCCCCACAGTGTGCTGTGGAGTAGACCTTGGTCGTTTTGGGCGCCTGCTTCGAGCAGGTGGAGCCTCCCCCCCTGGGCAAACCGTCGCATCAATGAGCAGAGGTCCAGAGCCAGGCCCTCCCCCTCGCCCCCCCTTCCGCCAAATGACGAAGCGCCGAATAATTTGGTGGGCCCGTTTTCCACCACCCACCAGAAGTTGGAGGGGGAGTGGGTCCTCCTCCTACTCCCACCACCTCCTCCTTTTCCTCCTCCTCCTCCTCCTCTCCTCCTCCTCCTCTTCGTCCTCCTCCCTCCTCCTCCTCCTCCTCCTCCTCCTCCTCCTCCTCCTCCTCCTCCTAATCCTCCTCCTTCCCCCCCTCCAACTTGTGGTGGCGGTGGTGGAAAACGGGTCCCTCAGATAAGAAGACGCTCGCCTGCCCGTCCCGCTCCAGCGGCTGGTCGAGCCACCCGGCGCTCGCGACCGCGGCTGGAGCCTGGCGCTGCGGGCCGGCGGCCTCTCAGCAGGCGGCGGAGCACTGCGGCAGAGGGGCCTCGTCGCTTCGCGGCGGCTCTGCGGCCGCGGGGTGCCCTCCGCGACGGCGCCTCGCCGGCGCGTCGCGGCAGTGGAGCTCCGTCGCCTCGCGGCGGCTCTGCGGCCGCGAGGTGCCCTCAGCCACTGCGCCGCGCCTGCGAATCGAGGCAGTGGGGTCCCGTCGGTGCTCGGCGTGCCAGCGACTGCGCCTCGCTGGGAGCGTTCCAGGGGGTCCCCGGATCGCCCCGAGCGGCCGCCGGAGGGGCGAGGCGTGTCCCGAACAGAGGAGGCAACCCGCGGAGGAGGGCCAGTTGAGACAGCGGCAGTGGAGCTTCGCGGGGCCGCTTCGTCGCGCAGCTCGGAAAGAGATGGCTTTCTTCCTCCTGCGCCCTCTCTCCTCTCCTTCCTCCTGCGTCCGCTCTCCTGTCCTCCCCGCTTCTTCTCTCCGGTGCGCGCGCGCGTGCCTCCCCTGCTGAGCTTGGCCTCCGGGAGGGCTCCGGGGGCCGATCTGCGAGCCGCCGCTGCCTCCGCTCGCCCTGCTGCGACGGACGAGGCGGCGCCCCGAGCGATAGGAAGCTGCCCGCGCGCGCCTCCACGCGGCAAGCTGACGGGCTTCGACGCCGATGGGGACCACTGCGTGGAGAGGCTGGCCAAAGGAGGAGCCTCTCCCTCGCCCGACTCCCGCCTGGTGTGCTGTCGCCGCGACGTTTGTGCCGGCGCGCGGATTTCCGCCCTGGGGAGGGCGCCGCGGCCACCGGGGCAGACGCCGCCGCGGGCGCGGTGGGCTTGCCGTGGATTTCGCCGCGGGGTCGGCTTTGTCTGCTCGGGCGCGGGAAGCAAGGTCTGCCGTGGGCTTGCCGTGGTGCTGGCGTCGTCCCCACTGGGCGCGTCGAGAACAGACGGCGTGGGGACACCTGCTGATGCTGCTGCTGCTTTGGGGCTTCTGTCCCAGCGTCAAGTCGGGCCTGTCCTCCACAGGGGGATTTTGGACGACAACTTAAGAATAGTGAGAAAATGCCCCAAAGTGGCAAACTAATATTCAACAAATCGTCCCCAGACTACTTTTTTGGACTATTTGTGAACTCTCCTCCTGTAGAGGGACAGGCCCGACTTGAACCCAGCGCTGGCCATGCCAGCGCTGTCCACTGGTCGTGCCGACGCGCACCACGGCGGCCAGGAGACTCGGCGAGAGCCCCGGGGCCCCTGGCGCTCGGCACGGCCTCTGCGGCCCTCGGCCGGGAGCCGGGCGCCCCCGCCGACGCCGAGGGCCCCCCGCCGCGGTGGAGGTCCCGCCGGGCCCCCTCGGAAGGGGACGGGCCATTCTTGCGCTGCGCGTGGAGCTCTCGCTCGCGCGGTTCTCCACGGTCCGGCTGCCGTCGCCCTCGCGGCGGGTTATTGGAAGAGAGGTGTGGGCGGGCGCTGGCGCACGCCCCCCCCCCCCCCCGCGAAGGATCCTCTCGCCTTCCCCTTCTCCGCCCTCCCTCCTTCCCTCCACGTCCCCTGCCACCAACTCCACCTCTGTCTCCCCGTCTGCCTTCTCCTCCTCGCCGCCAACGCCGCTGCCTCGTCTCGCCTCGCCTCGCAGTGCCTCCTCCTCCCCCCCTTTGCCCATCCCGCCCCCTTCTCCCCTCCTCCATCTCCTCCCTTTCTCGTCCCCGGTGGTGTTCGGGCCAGAACTGAGGCCTCCAGCGGCCGTTCGGGTCGATCCAGGCACCCCTGGGCAGCTCCCTGCGAGGCGCAGCCGCTGCAAGGAACCCCGAGGATGGAAAGCTGACGGAAGCTTACGCCAACGTGCGAAAATCTGTCCAATCTCCCTTGGGATCCGACAGTGCAAGCACATACAACATGGTGGAAACTCACGACTGGCGCCCTAGACCCGATGTTTCTTCGGCATTTCTCGAGCCCGATCCATCTGTGAGGGTCCCTGGGCCAGAAACCAAAAAACGCCCGCTATGAGAAGGAAGCGACGCCAGGATCTCAGTGTCTCCCCTCCCCTCCCTTCATCGAGAATGAAAGAACCCCTATCCCTAATCATATATATATATATATATATATATTGAAGACGTGGCCTCACTGAGGTCACCGTCTTTGCACTTGGGATAACAAATCTGGGCGGTTTGGTTCGCTACGTCTGCAGAAAAGGCCCCCTACCCACAATATCCTTGGCCCTCCTGACTTTCAGGTCCCCTCCCACAGGGTTAGGGGTCCTCTTTATTGGTCAACTCATCCCCCCGCTCCCCGCTCGCGCCTCCCGCCCCCCCGCTCCCCGCTCACGCCCGCTATCCCCCCCTCCTCCTCCCTCCTCTCCGCATCATCCTCCTCTCCTCTCCTCCTCATTATCCTTCTCATTGTCCTCCTCCTCCTCCTCCTTCCTCTCCTCTTCCTCCTCCTCCCCTTCTCCTCTCCTCATCCTCCTCTCCCTCTCCTCTCCTCCTCCTCGCCCTCCTCCTCCTCCCCCTCGCCTATCCTCTCCCTCCCCCTACCTCCTCCCCTTTCTTCTCCCTCCTCCCCCTCCCCCCACCCATTCCCTCCTCCCCCCCCTCCCGTGCGCGCCCCCCCCCCCCCCCTCTCTTGAGGCGGCCCGCCCGGGCGCGCGGGCGAGGGCCTGCAGCTCTTCGGCGGCCAGGGGCACCGCCTGGGCAGCTGAGGGCGGCGCCCGAGGCCCGGCCACCCCTGGGCGGGGCGCCCTCGAGGCCAGGAGGAGGGGGCCGGGTGTTGCTGGAGGTGCCCCTGGCCCACGGATCGAGTAGTGATCTTATTATCAATAAGAATAATGATGCTAATAATTAAAATGATAGTGCTAGGAATCATAATAGTAGTATTCATAACATTGATACTCATATCAACAATACTAATGAAGTTAAGACTGTGAATAGTAAGAATAGTGCGGGTAAGAGTTATAGTAGAGATAAGGAAAAGAAGAAACCTTCAGAATACGAGTAATACTAATATTGATAAGAATGACACTATGACGAAGAAGCGCCATAAACATCAACTGTTGACGCTCCGCGCGGATTTCTTGGATTCGCGCTGGGCCACCCCAGCGGCGCCTCCGGCGCCGCCCCTGGTGCGGCACGCGCGCCGGGGAGGGCGAAAATCCGCGCGCCCAGCGCAGATCCAAGAAACCCGCAAGGAGCGCCAAAAGTTTATGTCTATGTGTTTTTTCTTCCGAAGGGGGCCCAAGGACTGCCAAGCCTCCAGAGCACCCCCCGAGGCCCAGAGGGCCCCCGGGGCTCCAAGCTTGCGCGAGAAGCTGGGGGCACCTTGGGCCAGGGACACCTGCCTGCAACCGCCGAAAGGGGGGCGGAGGTCTGCCTCGTTCTTCTTTCTCTCCTTCTCGTACTCCTCGTCGTCCTCCTCCTCCCCCTCCTCCTCCTTCTGCGACCTCCTCCCTCCTCTCTCCTCCCTCCTCTCTCCTCCCTCCTCTCTCCTCCCTCCTCCCTCCTCCTCCTCCTGGGAAGGCCAGGCCAGGGACACGCAGGATCACGTCATGCAGTACGATCTCAAGGACATGGACCTGGACATCAGGTGAGGGTCCCACAGGGGAAGGAGCTCCAGGAACGCTCCAAGAGGATGGAGAACAAAGTCAGACTCCAGGGGGCCCTCACGACCACGCAGATCGCCACGGAGCTCAATCCCATCCTGCGCACGGAGATCGTCCGCCACGGGGGGGAGATCACGATCGGAGCGGCCCCGAGGGGTGTCTTGGAGAGGGACGCGCGGGCGTTGTTGAACAAGTTCGAGAACAGCTCGACGAAGTAGGTAGAAGGCGCATGCAGCTGCTCTTGTCCAGCGACAGGCTCGGGCAACTAATTGCCCAGGGGGTCGTCAGCAGGGAGGCAGTTTTCTCCTCCCTCACCTCTCCTCTCCTTTCGAGCTTTTCCCCTCCGACTCCCAGGGCCGAAACATTCTTAAGGCCAAAATTCAGCCGCGTCCAAAAGGGCGCGGGAAGGGAAGAGGGACATCCCGTCCCCCTTGAGTGTGCTGGTTTAGTCTCTGCGCCGTGTGACTTCGGGGTGGGACACCGTTGGGCGCCCATCTCGTAGGTGAATCGCGAGCGGAACCGAACCCAGCATGTGTAGGTCAGTGTGGGCTGCCACCCCTGCGTCCCGTGCTCGTTCCTCTTGGGTTGCAGGGGGGCCAGTGTGTCTCCCACCAGTGCCAGTGATATCGACAGTTGCAGCCCGAACCTCGGAATGCCGCCCAGCGAAGCTAATCGGAGAGTAACCGCCCATTTTCTCGTCGCCAAGGGATGTCTCAGTCTAAGTCTCCTCCTCCTCCTCCTCCTCCTCCTCCTCCTCCTCCTAAACCTCCTCCTCTGTCTCCCTTTTCCTTTCTCCTCTTCCTCCTCCTCCTCCTCCTCTTTTCTTCTTCCTCCTTTCCCTCGCGGCCAGCTGATCGCTGAGCTGCCGGAGCGCACCGGATTCCCGAAGACGGGGGCGAGGATGGGACCCCCCGCGCCGTGGCCAGGCCGGGGGTGGCGACCCGGGTGCACCACCACCACGCGAGGCACGGCCCCCCGCCGCTCGCCGGCCAGAAACAGAACGATGCCGCTGCCGCCGCACGTCGCGCCGTCAGGTTGGCGCCTGGCCTGAGCTCGCGGGCGGGGTGCGGCCGCGGCGCGGCGGAGATCGGAGCGGTGCCCCCGGTGGCTTTGTTCGCTCCCTCCTCCTCCTCCTCCTCCTCCTTTTCCTCCTTCTCCTCCTTCTCCTCCTCCTCCTCCTCCTCCTCCTCCTCCTCCTCCTCCCCTCTTCTTCTCCTTTTGTCTATTACTATTGTCGTGCTTCTTCCTCCTCGTTCCTGTCCTCCTCCTCCTCCTCTTCCTCCTCCTCCTCCTCGCGCTGGAGCGCGATTTCGCAATGCATGTTGTGGGCGTATCAGGCGAGACCAGCTGCTGTGTTAAACGGGGGGCCCACAAGCCAATCTGAGGCGCAAGACTTCCCTTGGTAAAACGCAGGGTGCGAGCCGCGGGAGGACGGGCACCTGGAGGAGGGGGATCAACAGCACGTTTTCTTTAGAGATGAGAATTCAGCAACAACGCTGCCGCTCGATAGCCCCCCACTGATTACTCCAAAGTGGCGCGCTTGCTTGCCGCCGAAAGCGGACCCTCCAACACCACCAGCTCTCCACGACGCTCCCGCTCGGACTTCTCTCAGGGCTGGCGCGCTTGCTCGCCGCCGAGAGCGGGCCCTCCAACGAAACCGGCGCTCCCTCAAGCGACTCGTGGCTTGTACCCCAGGGGCGGTGCTCACGCCTTGGCGCCGCAGGCCAGCCACTTCCCTGGCATTTTGCTCGGGGGTGGCGTCCTGCTCGCCGCCGATGACCTGCTGTCCATCGTAGCCAGGGGCCCCGCTCGATATCTATTTTCATTGGCCTCGGGAGTGGTGCTCTCGCTTCGTCGCCACAAGCCAGCCCCGCATCCAACAACGCTCCCGCTCGATACCCGCCTACGACAAGAGGGCTCCCGCCCGATGTTCCCTGGCCGAGGGTCGTGAAGTGCATCGGGAGAGGTGTCGGCTCGACCTCCTTGGGCGGGAGATCGGGATGAGGGATTACTGGCCCCTTTTCGTATGATTTTATGACGGGCCTGTCCCCCTACATGGGGATTTTCGACGACAAATTGAAAATACCTCAAAAATACCCCCCCAAGGTCAAGCAATAAGTTAGAAAATAGTCCCCAGACTATTTTTGGTGTATTTTTTTATTATTTCTGGGGTATGTTTTATTTTTCGTTGAAAATTCCGTGTAGGGGGACAGGCCCGACTTAAAGATAGTTCCTCTATGACGGGGGTGACATCATCATGGATGCGTGTGGGGCACGCGGAAGCATGGCGCATGAGGGTCACATGGTCGAGTTCGCACCTATTCAAACAGTTGCTGCTGCTCGCACCCTGCTTTCACGAGGGGGAGTCTCGAGCCTCAGACTGTGCTCTTGGCTCCAGGTTTACCACGTCCGCGGCTCCCGCTGGATATTTCCCCACGATGTGCTGAAGCATCGCGCTCTCCCTGGGAATCGCCCTCTCGCATCAGACGCCCTTACAATGTATTCACGAACCGCTCCCCCGGCGCTCTGGACTCGCGCCATCGCTCGGGACCTCCTTATAATTTACTTAGTAGCCGCACTCTCGACTGAGGTTTTCTTGCCAGTCTTTCTTGCTAAGCCCTCTTGCTAACCCTCCTCGTCTCCATCTTCTCCCTCCCTCCCTCTTGCCCCCTTCCCTCCTCCCTCCCTTCCTCAATTCCCTTCCTCCTCGCTCCCCCCCTGTTCATTATTGGCTTCCTTCCTGCTTCAAGGGCTCGGCCAGTTGCACATGGCAGGGAAGGGAGATCTACCCCCACAGGGGAACGATCAACAACGAAGAGACCGGGCATCGAGGGCTTGGGAGGTACATTTTGGATGGCGCACGAGCATGTGAGACCGAGTGGTCTTGACATGATTGCCGTTGCTGCTGCTCTTCTGGCGGCTTCGTGTGGGTGCTTCTGCAGGTTCTCGCCGCCACGACTCGCTGCAGCTCGAGAGGCCAGCCTGTATAGGCTGCTGGTGCTCCCAGGAGTAGATTTTGAGCGGCTGTTGGTCGGGGTGGTGGTGGCTGGCAAGGGATTTTCGTTGAATGCTGATCACTTGAGAAGCACCCCGGCATTCCAAGACGCCTTCTAAGGAGCCCCCGAGCTCTTTCAACAGGTTTCCGGCCATCTCAGAAGGCCGCCCACCGACCTCAGATCCGTTCAAGTCCCGTCGCTGGACCTTTCCAAGGATGAATCCCGCCCAGCTTTTAGAGCATCATCCCTCTTTCGCCTGCCAATGGGGGTCAGCCTTGTGGGGGCCAGGAAAAGGTAAGCTCAATTCCGAGGATTTGCCTTGTTCGGGGCCGCATTGTGAAGGCCTTGCGGCGGTGTCGCCCCGCCTACCCTGAACGGGGACGACGGGGACGGCGGCGGCGGCGGCGACGACGACGACACCGCTGGCGTGGGTGGGAGTCCTCAGGGATGCTTCATGGGATCTCTTCGGAGCGCTCTCGTAGGCCTCTGGGCCTCTTGGGAGCATCTTGGGGGCCTCTTGGGAGCCTCTTGGGGGCCTCTCGGGGTTTCCTCGGGGCCTCTTGGGGGCCTCTTGGGGGCCTCTTGGGGCCTCTTAGGGGCCTCTTGGGGCCTCTTGGGGCTTCTTGGGAGCTTTTAGGGGCCGATGGCTCGAAATGTCAGTTCGTGTGCTCCGTCTGGGCACCCTCTAGTAGCCGTCTTGAGGGCCTCCTGGGCCGTCTTGGGCCGTCTTGGTTCAGTCGTTTTGGGACCCTCTTGGAAGCCTCTTGGAAGCCTCTTGGGAGCCTCGTGGGCCGATCTTGGGGGCCTCTTAGGCTGTCTTGGAGCGTCGGGAAGCCGACAAGGCGAGACCGCCAAAATGTCGCGAAAACAACCTAAGGAGCATCATTGTATATGGCATCTTGGGGCCCTCTTGGGAGTGCTCTTGGAGACCTCTTCGAGCGTCTTGGAGGCCTCTTGGGCTGTCTGCAGGCCATCTTTGGTTTCTTGGACCGGTCGTTCGTCTTTGGGGGCCTCTTGGCTCTTGGGCTGTCTTTGGGGGGCCTGTATGGGTCCTGGGGGGATGGTATTTTGACTGGAACCTCCTCCCGGACTCACACCAGGGGCCCACCCTGGGGAGCCCCCCCTGGCTGGCGCGCTAGAGGAGGAGGGCTGAGGGTGCGAGGGGGGGAACGTCGACGGGCCCAGGGGAGGTTGGGGGAGCGGCGACGGCGGCGGCGGCGGCGGCGACGTGTCAAACGGAATAGCGTCTCACACACGTCGGCAGGGTCGGCGGAGTTGTTTCAAGAAATGTCTTCTTTACAGTCGGCCCAGGTCAGTAGGTCGACCCTGCCAAGAAGGTACCCTTGTGTCCTGTGTCTCGCGACCCATGCTCCTACATTCCTGTGGCAATGTGGCCCTCGGAAGGGTCTTGTGTCCTCTCGCGTGTCCTGTCCAATCGAGTCCGACTGTAGCCTTTCCTTGGGCAGTCCCTTTGGAAATTCTTCGCCCGGGCCAGAATCAGAAGTCTCTCTTTTCCCTGAGTTTGCTTTTCGCTGACTCCGACCCGCAGCAGCCTGCCTCCCAGCAGGCGACTGAGTCGACGACCTGGCGCCGAATGCCGCCCCCCCCTTCACGCCACGCCTGTCCTGGGCGCCTTTCGCCTCCGCCGGAGGCGCCCGGAGAGCGCCGGCGGAGCTACAGCGCGGCGCCGCGAGAGAGCGAGCGAGAGCGACCCCTCCGCTTTTGTCGGGCCTGTCCCTCTACAGGGGGGGAAAATTCAGAAATAGTTAAAAAATACTATGATGACGATTTTTTGACTGTTTTTGTCCATTTGGGGGGTATTTTTTGAGTATTCTTTGTTTTTCGCCCCAAATCCCCCTGTAGGGGGACACGCCCGACTTAGCCCTCCGCCCTTCTCCTTTCCCCAAGATCCTCGGGCACTGAGCGCACGCCCGCCCCGACGAGCCGACCGAGGAAAGAGATCGCTCGAATGCTTCGGCGACGCCCCGGGGGTATCCGGGGATGGAAGGGGAGACCAGCCGATAGCCTGATTCACCTTTTGGCTTTGGGTCGCCCCACGTGTGCCCGCGCGCACAGCTAGTGAGCACGCTCTTCGGACCTGCGCCAACGCCAAGCTCAGACTATCCGGGGCCGATAACCTGGCTTGTCTCCGGACACGCTCTCAAATCTTAACGGGGTCTCGGCACACGAGTGCATTGGTGCAGTCCTCAGTCGGTTTCGCTGATCGGCGTGCGTTTCGCCGGATACATGTTCGCTTGTCTTCGGGAGTCGAATCGTGATGCCGCCCAGGTGCACTCAGAACGCTCTGTCGCCCGTGTCCCGTGGAGTGCCCCAGCAGCTTTCGCTGAAGGGCGTTTTGCCAACGAGGGTCCTGCCGAGTCTCGTCATTCTTGTTTTTTGTTTTTTGTTTTTGTTGATCCGCTCTGCGTTTTTGGCGAGGATTCGGGCCGGCCCCAGGGCTCTCCCGTGGGTCGGTGCGGCTCGAGAGCTGCAGCAGCGAGGCGGGGCCTGCGGCTCCGACACTGGTCGTGTCCCACGATGCTGCCATCTTGTCGGCAACACCCCAACATACTTATACTATATGTGCGTCGCCCCCCCAGGGGCGACGCGCGCACCGAGAAATCTTATAGTATATGCGTCGTGGCGTGCGCTTTCTGGCCACATCGCTCGGGAAACGATATACTACAAGACGGGTATACTATATGTTCGGGTCGGACGCTCGCCTCCAAGGAGGACATATAGTACTAGTATGTCTCTGTGCCTCCCATCTTGCAGTCGGCCCGGATTCGTAGGTCGACCCTGCCAAGTCAAAGGGTGCCCTCGTGTCCCGTGTCTCGCGACCCGTGCTTCTTACATTCCTGTGGCAATGTGGGCCTCGGAAGGGTCTTGTACCCTCTCGCGTGTCCCGTCCAACCGAGTCCGACTCTATCGCGGCGTCGGATCTCAGGGTCTACGATCGGCGGCGAGCGAGCGGGGGAAGTGAGAAGGAGAAGGCATTCTCCGAAGGTCCGGAGGCCCCGCGCCTTCTGAGACGATGTCGAAGCCTTTCCCGGAGGCACGACCAAAACCTCCCCGAAGGCACGAGGGCCTCCGGGAAGTCCCGCCGCCTTCCGAGAAGGCCTTCTCCTTCTCACTTCCCCCCCTCGCTCGCCGCCGATGAGGGCCTACGACCTACGTACAGCGGGGGCGCGCATCAGGGAACCATCTGAGTTTCGTCAGGGTCCCCTGGGCTTCTTCTCGCCTCGCGCACGGCGGAGGGGGCAGTGGGCGGGGCTCCTGCTGCGGCGCTGGGGACGCGGGGGGCCTCGGGGCAGAGAGCCACGGCGCGGGTGTCCCACTCTGGCAAAGCGAGTGTGCGCGGCGTCAAGGCGAGAGCCACATTTTGGAAAGGAGCCGCCTTCTACTAGTGACACGTTTTATATGACACGTAT